TTTAATATTATTAATAAGCTTTTTAATTTATTTTATAAAATATGATGTATCAGAAGTGATGATACAGCCTATACTAATAATTTATTTGTGCAACTTGCAGAAAAATTTATTTGTAATTTTTAATATAGTCATGAGATAACTCCTCTATTCAAGTCTTATAGTTAACTATAATATAAGTATATGTGTATGCACAAATAAATATATTAAAGTTAAAAATATTAACCTTTAAATAATAATATATTAAAATTCTTAGTATTTATTGTTTTAAAAAAAAAATATATATAAATAGAATATTTGAAAACAAATAATCCTTATTTGAAATTATTTATTACTACATATAAATTTTTAACATAACAAAATGACCTGCTATACAAAAAAAAGAAAGCATTTATTAAACATTACAGAAGATCACAAATCCAAAAAACTAAAAATGAAAGAAAATATCTATAACTTCATTGATTCTTTGAGTCAACAAGAATTAATAGAGATTAGAAATTATATAGACTTAATTACTTCCAACCAGCAAAGCATTACTGAAAAAAAGCTCAATAAATTAATAGATAAAATTAAAAGTTTATCAAATTAACAAATCTTAAGAATTGAATATTTAGGAAATATAATAGTATATTTTAAAGGCAATATAAAAGGTAAAATATTGTCACAATACATACAAAATAAAGTGAATAACTTTATAAATAGCAGTCTTTTCAAGCATTATTTGTCTGCTAATGCTTTTAAAGATAAGATTAAAAAATTAGAAACAGAAAATATGAAATTAGCAAAAGCATTAGAAAACTCAAATAATAAGCTTAGATCTTTTCATATAAAACTTGTAAGAGCTAAGGAAATAAAAAACAAAAACTTCTAAAATTCAATTTATTACTCATAAAAAAATTATATCAAGTCAGTTTAATGTGGCAGCAAAAAAAATAATTAAACAAAATAAAAAAGAATACTTAGCTAAATTTGTCAAGCTCACTACAGATATTAATAACATTAGGACTGTCTTGCTTTTAGCAGCAACAGAATGTACTAATAAGATAATAACTTTTTTTACTAGTGAAACACTAGATAAAAAGTTATTAATAAGAACTCTTTCTTAGTGGAATAAGAAAGTTTCTACTATATCGCTTAAGCAAAATCAGCCAAAAGCTTTGCAACTACCATCCTATTCATATAATGTAATGGCAGATGAAAGTACAAGAGAAGATAAGAAAGATTTTTTGGTTTGTTTTTTGCATTAGAATGAACAATATAATAAACCAATGACTATACTTGCAAAAATAGTAGATTTAAATAGATGTAATAGAATCATTGTAGTTAAAACAGTAAAGAAAACATGTGAAGAGAATAAATTAGATCTGTGACAATGTGGATTTTGGCTTATCAATAATACAGCAAATATGTTAGGAAGTAAATCAGGCACTGTAATAGAATTTAATTCATAAATGAATGCATTTTCGTTTAGAATTCCATGCAGTTTACATGCACTACAAATAGCCTTGATTGCTTTTAAAAAGACTATATTTGGTAAGTTAAACACAGTATCAGAATTATTGTTCTAAAAACATCTTTATAATCTTCTTCAACTTGTCTATTATTTACATGATAGTTATAATGAAAGCAATAAAGACTGTCCATTAAATATGAAATTCAACATAATTAGAAGGCTATACTATATGCTTTTGCAGTATACTTTAAAAAAATATCAAAAGCCTATTTCAAGTTGATAGCAATACCAATTAATAACTGCAAATCAATATCTTGAAAATTATAATGCACATTGTCTTTTTGGAACTTGGTTTATAAAACAACTTAATCAATTCAAAAATATATCTGCCAGTTATGTTAAACAGTAAAAGGTCTTCATCAAATAGATAAATAATAGAAAGCTTAATCTTCAGATAAAGTGTATAGTGCAATTTGAACAATTTTTTTATATGAAATTCTTTGAGTTTCTAACTAGTTCAATAATATATCTTGAATCCTAGAAAATAATAGGTCCAAATGCCTTTCTTCTGGATACTGTACATATGAGCTTCCTGATCAAGTTTCACTCTGGCTAAGTGAATTGCAACATGCAATTATTAACTCTTATATAATTTTTGAGAAAAAACTTACTAAAGCATAATCAACATTATGTAATCAAGAATTTATGACTTTAACCTACCAGATTAAACTTGGTTTCAAAAATCCTAAGATAGATTTTTAAAATGAATGGGCTGCTAGACTTATTTAGCATTAACCATATGTCTATTAGGTAGAAATAATAGTCCTGATTTTGCGTAGAGTATTTGTTGTGTCTTTTTAAACTGATCATTAAATAATGAACTAACTAATAAAGAACTTCTATATACTAAACTATTAAAAAAAGATAAATTAGAAGGAAATTTTCAATTATTTAGTTTATTATATATGCTAAGAGATCCTAAGTTTTTGAAACAGTTTCTTATCTTTTCAATATTCTATGCAAATGAACTCTTCAAATTTCCACTTATATATAACTTTGTTAAATATAGAATTTGGTCAATCATAGTTTACCAACAACAGCTTGAAGGAATGTTTAACAAATATAACATTAAAACTCATCTTAATATAACTGACAAACTTTAAGAAGCAAGGCTTTTACTATCTAGTTCAAATTGACTAGAAGTAAGGCTTAATCATAAAGATTTATTAGCAATTTGCAAGAAGAAACAAAGTAATATAGTTAATAAAGCAGAAATAGAACTTGAAGAGACAGCTGCTAAAGTTATTTTAGATAAGTTATTGAAAAAAAAAGTAGAGTAAAATGTAAAATAAAAGAGTTGACTAATTAAAAAAATTTTTAGTAACAGTAAGGTAATTAGTATCTAAAATATTTCTAGATTTATAGGATTTTCCAGATTTATAAAATTTTCCTGATAAAAAATCCTATTATTAGTAATGGTGAATTTACTGAAGTTTTATTTTAAATATATTCTATGCAGAACTTGAAGATGAGCATTATTTACAATTTAAATTCACAATTTATTTTTTAATTTAACTATAATATATTAAAAAATTTAAAAAAATGCCTTAACATAGTTTTAAAACTACACTACTCATATATCATTTACAAGTTACAGACTTGAAGTTGGAATGTTTTGAATATATAATTTTTTATAATTTGTTATAACAATTATAAAAATTATACAGGATGTGGGTCCTATAGCTTAGCAGTTAAGCTCTTATGCTCCCACAGTCAAGGTCAACGATTAAAATCCAGCTGGAGGCAAAAACTAAAAAGATTTTAGCCTCTGTAACCCAATAAGAAGCCAGTAATTGAATGCGAAGCCCT